TTTGGAGCTTTTTTGGAAAGTAGTGCATAAGCTTGTCTAACTCGCCCTGATCTATAATAACATGTTGCCAAAAGAAATAAAGTTTCCTCTGAGTCAACTAAAATGACAATACAATATCATAATTAAAAGATGCCAAGAGATAAATTGAATGTTATAAAAATTATAATTAATAAACCTTACCTTCTGCACACAACCTTTCTGCTAAAAATATTGCGTCTGGATAAGCATAATGATTTAAACAATGCCATATGGCCGCCTGTAATCATACATGTTAGAATATATTGACATAACACACAAATACACACAATGACAAGAACATTTAATCATATTTTTACAAATACAAAAATACATACATCATATTTGTTGCTAACTTCTGATACACAAAGTAACATGCTAACACTCATAAAAATTTATTGGTTTATGTACAAAATACAAAAGAACCATAAACGTCATAAAGGTTTGTACTTATTTATAGTCATATCCCCTCCCGTTTACGTCCATTTCGCAAAAGCAAACAACCCTAAAGAAGTTCACCCTCACATAAGAATATATTCAATATCAAATAAACTAGAATCTTGATAACCTGATTAATGGTAGAATATCGCGAAAGTAACGAAGTATCATAAAATATCGCACAGAATTGAAAATCAATTTTCTGTTAAATAACAAACATGCGTGTAAACGGTTTTCAATTTCTCATGTCAGTATCAATAAGTGTGGATGATGCGTCCAGATAGAAAATCGCACGTCACTGCCAGTTATTTCTCAAACTTAATCAACTTTACCTGCACTGGCTCCTGTACAATCATCGTTCACACGGCAGACTTGGTCATATAAGAATAATCTCGAACGTTTCAAGAAAATTTAATGAAGAAAATCCAAAGTCGAATGACTGGTGTGTATAAAAATTTCTTAGGAGTCCATCTTTGCTCCGATTCTTTTGAAGTGAACAACTAACTTCAGAACAAAGGTTTACCAACATTAGAAGAACGTCAATTCCATAAGGAATTAACAGTGTATTTATAGAAGAACTAAAGCTATCTTCAAGAGTTAAATACTTTCAACAGAAATTACCTTTTCTACAAATATAAATTGTAAATTAATAACATACCGTTTATTTAATGTTTCGTTTAAAATTTAAAGACGTAAGGAAAAACTAAATTTCTATCGCGATGATCCGATATGCATTTATATATATCAAATTCTTACGATAAAAATAATTATGAAATTGTTATTAATTATATCAGTGATTATATTAGCAGAGAATATTGCTTAACTTTGTTATAAATATATTTATTACATCTTATGTACTTTATTTTAGTGTTTTATTATTAACGTTATAACAACGCGAGTTTTGAAAATTTAAATAATTTATTACATTTTGTTGGTAACATACTAAAGCTCCCCATAGAATATAGAGATATAAGGATGGAGTGCGCGAGCGAGCTGAAAAAGTCATATAGGAATAAAAAGAAAATGCTCCATAGAGACTCTTTGGATCCTTGTCTAATAAAGCATACACATTCGTACAATAAATATGAAGTATAACACCAATCTATGAACATTATATCCATGCACCAATCAACGAATGGCGACAATGTCATGCCTAATCAGATAAGGACTGAAAAGGCCTTTATGCAACGTTCTCTTTCTATTCTCATATTGCATTCACTTACATGGAAACATGTGATCGCGTACTCTATCTGTATGTATGTATATATATATATATATATATATATATATATATATATATATATATATATATATATATATATATATATATATATATATATATATATATATATATATATATATATATATATATATATATATATATATATATATATATATATATATATATATATATATATATATATATATATATATATATATATATATATATATATATATATATATATATATATATATATATATATATATATATATATATATATATATATATATATATATATATATATATATATATATATATATATATATATATATATATATATATATATATATATATATATATATATATATATATATATATATATATATATATATATATATATATATATATATATATATATATATATATATATATATATATATATATATATATATATATATATATATATATATATATATATATATATATATATATATATATATATATATATATATATATATATAAAACTACCTCTACCTACCAACAAAAGCTAGCGAAAAAGTATACAATAAGTCACTAGGTTTAAAATATCGAAATGTATTATAATTAATAATGAATATAAAAATGTTTGTTTAATTGATACCAATTGACACCAACGTTTAATTGATATTAATATAAAACTAAATCGATGTATTCAAAACATTACAAATTACACCTGTATGTGTATATCTATAGTATAAGTCATTAGTTCAAAACAATAAGTAGCATTTTGCAATTTTATCCTTAGTAAAATAAATAAAAAAATAAAATATTGATATAATTAAGATATCAATAAATTTATTATGTTGGAGTATACCTTAAGAACATTCTTGAAATCCATATACATAATCATCATGTAAGTACTTACTTACATTTTTACATAAAATAATAACATAAAGATAAATGAGGAGAAAATATATGTATTTTTTTTTATAGGCAATGAAGCAATTATGTAAAAATATACTTTATAAAGATGTATTGTTTATTGCATACCTGTTTTCACTCAAGCCTTCGTTTAACATCAAAGACCAAGTTAACATATATTTGTATTTGTATTGGTCTTATTATATTGCTTAATTATTTCGGAGCATTCACACATTTATTTGAAATTACATATGATTCAAATTTTGTTTACCCATACGAAGGTGATGTTCATGAATTTGTAAATGCATTACGACATAATAGAAAACCTACTGTTGAACCCATAAATGAATATAAATATACATTTTTAATTGATAATGAACAAAAATGCGTAGACCCTGCATACAACATGTTTCGTGTTGTCTATATAGTAAAATCTGCAATAGAAAATTTTGAAAGACGATTAGCAATTAGAAATTCCTGGGGTTATGAAAAAAGATTTTTTGATGTACCCTCAAGAACAGTCTTTATGTTAGGTGTACATCCATATGATGATGAACTTCAAACAAAAGTGAGAATTGAGGCTGCAAAATATAAAGATATCATACAAGCAGATTTTATAGATTCATATTATAATAACACTATCAAAACCATGATGGCTTTTAAATGGCTAGTAAAATATTGTTCTAATTCAAAATTTTACATGTTTGTCGATGATGATATATATGTTTCTGTAAAAAATGTCTTAAGATTTATAAGAAATCCAACTAACTATCCTGATTATTTAAAAGAGCCAAAAAAAATTGATACCCACAAAAAGAGAGAAATTAAAGATAGTGATAAAATGGAAGAGTTAAGTGATGATACAATTACACAAAAAAATGTTCATGCTTTTGATAGAAAGAATTTGTCTGTTTATGAAAAATTAAAAAGAACACTTTTTATGCATAGATTAAAGCAAGATTTTTATAATAAAACATTATATACACTTCCTGCAAATAATTATGATATACAAAATAGTATAAATTTAAAACCTCTCCAGGAAGAACATATAAAAGATGAATTGACAATGAATAGAACAAAAAGACAAATTTTTGATTTTGAACTTCCAGAAGATGTTAGATTATTTGCAGGATTTGTATTTGTATCTTCACCTCATCGTCACAAGTCTTCTAAATGGTATATTTCTCTTAATGAATATCCTTACCATTTATGGCCACCATATGTTACAGCTGGTGCATATATACTGTCCAGAGAAGCTCTTTTAGATATGTATTATACTAGCCTTTATACTAAGTATTTCAAATTTGATGATATTTTTTTAGGCTTAGTTGCGAAAAAGGCAGACATAGAACCTTTTCATTGCGAGGAATTTCATTTTTATAAGAAGGATTATACAAAATTTAATTACAAATATGTAATAAGTTCTCATGGATATGGAAATCCAAATGAGTTATTGAATGTATGGAATGAACAAAAAGCTCTTGGTAATGCCTAAATTTTTAATTGCATCCAAAATATTTCTAATATGAGTTTTATTTGAACATGAATATATTTTTTTAAACATTTGCAAATAAAATCAAATATCATGTAGTTCCATATCACTCATATTTCTAAATAAGGAAATCAGTACGTTATATATTTATTTTGTACAATAAATATATTTAACTATTGTATAATGTACCCGCATTAGTAATTCAAAATATGTGTACTCGAAAACAATTTTTTGAAGTCAAACTATAATAAATAAATTAAAGTGAATATAATAAAGTGTACATACATAATTAAAACTGTGGTTAATTCGATGATATATGTATAGGAATTTCATCTCATATTATGAATTACTGACAGGTTAACGAATTAATTAGTAATAGACTAAAAATTCTTTCATATAATCAATTTATTATAAACTATATTCAAAAATAGTCTTATAAGAACAGACATAAGTATAATAATCAATTTTTATATATATAATAAGGTATTATAGTAAATATAATTACTTATATAATGCTTTTATACAAATATCACATAATTTATAACTTATATTTGAATAACTAGTTACAATTAATACTAGTTATTATATATGACACAAAAGCAGGGAATTATTAATAAGGGAACATATGCTCGCATACAGCATTATAGCATAAAAATATATGTACAAACGTCTTAGCAGATAAATCAAAATAACAAAAAATAATGAACTAGGAAATATATAGTAATTAAGTAAGTAAGTAAGCTATATAGTAATTAAGATATAGCTATATTTAGGTAGTAAATTAAAATTTACTTTAGTGAAATAAATTGAGATAGAAACAAAATGTATTGAATGTGCAAATATTCAAAAGAGATTGTAATAGGCATAAGCTTCAATACAATAAAGGAATACAATACAATACAATACTAATATGTAATATTATTACACAAAAACTATTATCTCACACAAACTTTATTAACAAAAGTAAATTATTTGATATCATCCTTACATAAAAAATGAAAATACAACTGCAACATAAGATTATAGATTATAGATTATAAAAAAATAAAATATTCTATCACATAAATATAAGGATTTTAAAGAACAAGTTGTAAATTTTTTAGATATTTACAATTTTGTACTTGCTGCACTGATATCTGTAGATTTGTCTCTATTTATAGTTACAAGTTCAATAAATATATTTTGTAAATTTATAAACACAGTGTTCTCCATTTTGTTTAATTTTTATTTTACATTTATCATTAACACTGTTGCTTGTCCATGTTAGCTTTAACTAATGTTTGGTCTAAATTTGTAGCTTCTCTCTTGATCATATTTAACAAAAGTTGTGAACTTTCCAAAATCTGTAATTATAACAACTCTTATATAAATTCCTATAATAACAAATATACTTGTATCTATGTATTATAGTTACTATGTATGGTTACCTGTGACATAACAAGTTTTTATTAAATCTAATTTTTGTTCTAAAGTATAAGAAACAATAGATATACCTTTACATATGCTGTTTCTGTATCTGTAATAGTTCTATCATATTCATTTCTGACTGCTATCTTTTTAGTTAAACTATCATTTAGGCGTGTTAATTTATAAGACAACTTTTCTATTTCTCTTTGCAAATGATTCTTTTCTTCTTCCTGAGATTCAATTTCCGCTTGTAACTCTGTACGCCTCAATTTCATCTCTTCTAAACCTACAGAAAATAAAAGATTAATAAAGTAACATATCAATATTTACATACACAAACTTATAACCTATATGTAGCATTTAATATTATATTAAAATTCATTTCTACTTTATGTTCATATTTGAATATAAAATAATAATAAAGCAAACATATCGTATTAATTACATTGATTACAAATAAATAAATATAAATTTACACTTTACAAGTTCTTGATTATAAGTTTGCAAAGCAGCACCGTGTTGAGACATTTCAAACCCTCCATGCACAAATAATACAATTACAATATTTCTACAGCACCCAACAAAAAATTATTTTCTATTAAAAAATTCACCAATAATTTACGCTTATACAATTAACATACAAATACGAATCTAAACGAAGGTTTCAGTTTTTGGCGCGGAGTTTATAATACACCAGTTTCAACGCATGCGCAATTGTTAATATAATTGATTATAATTTAAAAATCGTATATAATATTGTTTTAACAACTAATTTTTGAGACTGAAGGAGTTATTTAGAACTTGATAATGTCGTTCAGTAATCAAAATATAAAATATTTTTAAAAATTTTAAATGGTCTTTTCAGCCATAAAATAAAAACTAAACTGAAAAATAAAATTCTTAACTAGATTTTTTGTATCCAAATCTTTTTATATCTTTATTTCATGTCCAAAATTCCCAAATGTCCTCAAAATTCGGAACAGATCCGTTCAGCAGTTTTCGATTAATTATGGTCATCGATTTTGAAAATATCGTTCTGAGAAAAATATGTTTAAAGTTTCAAATTCGATTGACACGTAAAAAATTCTTTTTTAATTTACATAGAATCATTTTGAAATTTTCAGGAAATATTCTTAAAATAATACCTACAATGAATCGCACGAGTATATTCGTACCTTTTATTTTTTGTACCATTATATTTTCCATGAAAAAAATTCGACTATTCGTACACTTGTCGATATCTTTTATAGACATTACGAAAGATTTTGAAATTTCATTAGTACTGTAATGACAGTCAACTATCATAATTATATTGATAAAATTTGAAACGATCAATTCTGAAAATATATACAAAAGTTACAAGATATTTAGTATAAGTATATATATTTTGTAGAAATCAAAAAAATATTTAAACAATCAATTATCTGCGATATTAATAAGTCTGAATATTCAGTGGGTAGGACGATCTTAAGTATTTATTAGATGTATAAGGTGACTTATCATACTTTATATTAATTTTTTGCTAAATATAAATTTGCAGTAAATATCTTGCATCTTTTATATATATTTTCAGAAGGTTCAAATTTCTCCAGTATAATCATAGCAGTGGCGTCTCATTTTGATGCTAATGAAATTTCAAAATGTTTTATATAATACGCACAATATATGTATAGAAATTTTCTATGGTGAGTGTACGAGTACTTTTGCCAGCCACTGTATATTTACTTAAAGAAAATATCAAAATCCAACAATCGAATTTTTCGAAATTTCTAACCACGGAAGACCACTTAAAGAATTGTACTGGAAAAGAACAATGCAGCTTTTCGCCTTGCCTTTTAAAGGCGTCACGAAGTGTTTTCATCTACCAAGGTGTAATAAATACACCTTTCGCTCGAGATCTTCACACTAACGTGAAAGTCTTAGATACGTGCAGTTATATTCTACCTGTATCCATTTAAACGTAAATAAATCAGTGTTGTTGAAGCAAAATCTTGGTGTATTTTAACATTTAAATGTTTTGTTACAGTGTTTTGTTACAGAAAAGTGCACTAATGTACCAAATGGTACCGTTAATACTAATACTTCTAAAATCAAACATCCATGATGTATCAATATTATTTTATGTTTGACCAATATTTCCTGAAAAAAGACATCTCTACATAGACAAGAATTAATAATTAAACACATAATAATTATATGAAGTCCGTAAACCTCGAGTTTACACCTAAAATTTGCTTTCGACAAATCTCTTCGACATGAGTGTTTCAGGTATGATGTTTATAAAGATCAATCTTGATATCTGGCCTATCTAGATACATAATTATACAACAATTTCTATATTACTTTTCTATACATATGTTTTCCAATCAGATAAAAATTTGATTTTTGTAGTGCATTAAGTAAATCAATAAAAATAAACATAAATTAAAAAATAACATGTATTTGGTCTTAAGTTGACACGATTTATGGCGCTTGCGCAGGTAAATCTTTCAATGTTATCCTTCGAAATTTTCATAGTGTACGAAAACATATTTTTATTGAACAATGAAATAAAAGGAAAAAATTAACATTGCTTAATGTAATAAAAAGGGCATAATAAATTATATATATATTTATCTCATTTCGCCTTTAATTTTGAATTTTATCGATTTAATTAATCTCTCTTAAATTTTTACCATATAAAGAAAATTTAAGTATATTGAACCACAAAATATAAATACATGTCTCAACAAAAATTGTAAATTAAAGAATAGAAAATATTCAAATAAAAAATGAAAATTGCATTTTAAATGATCACATTATCGATTGAGGATGCATATGACCTTGTCAAATGACATCACGTTACTAAATTAGGAGTTTATTACCGCGACAAATGTGTTGTCACAATTAAAAGATTCTATGATGATTACGTGTTTTGCAATTCATTTGCAATTTGCCATTCCTACTTTGTTGCCCTCACATCATTTAGAGGAAATGCAATGCACACATTTATTCATCATATCAAATATTAATTTACTTATTTTTAATATATTATCCCTGACCCATGATAAATACTAATAAATAATGAAAAATGCATACATAACATAATATTGCATTATTAGAGAAGTTCTTAATAGCATTTATTACTACATAATAATTTTTACAGGTAATACTAAAAATATCTAAATATAAAATCAAGATTGTCATATCTGTGATATCACATAAAAATATCATTCACTATTTATTAAGTAAGTCATGCTCAAATCAAGAATATATAATATTTAATTCTGTTATCTAAATATTATGTAATTATTTAGAATTTATAACATATCTTTCTACCTTCCTTCTTTTTTTTTTTTTTTGAACAACAAAATTAATTTTAATTATTATAATTTCTCATCGTTTATGTTTATTAATGGCAAGGTACTGGTTTAAATTATCTGTAAAGTTTCTTATACTTTTTAGATAAATTATAAAAATTTAAGTATCATAATGACAAATAATTCAAGATATCTAGGATATCACAATAATATAAATAGAGAATATTTAACAGATGGAGATGATAATCATCGTGCACCATCAGATCGTACAGTATCTGAATATATTGTGTCTACTGACCATGCTACAATGGTAATTTATAACTTTTATGTACAATTATAAACATATGTACTATAATTAATATGTTAGTAATTATGAAAATTTGCATTGTACTTAAAAATATGTATTAAATAAATAGTGTATGTATAATACAATATGTTACCTTATAATACTACTTACTACTATGATAGAACATTCAAGAGATCTATTATTTATTATATATGTACTTAAATTTGATAGATGAAATCAATGAAAAAAGATCATTCAGATAAATATGAAAAAGAAGAAGGAAGACAATCACGAAATATACACAATAGTCGTGGTTCAATATTATCTGGATCTTCAAGACATAGTCTTCATCCTCTTAGTAAAAGTATTTCACATGGTAGCATATGTGACAATGGTTCAGATATATATGTTACAAGTGCTGCATATAGGGCAACTTCAGATATAAGGTTGTAAATATAATAAAATATAATATGTTTTATATGTATATGATTGTATCATAAACGGCATTATTATTTAATCAATAGCCATGTATCGCATCACAGTTTAACACCAAGTTCAAGATTAGGACATCGAGCACCCAGTCATTGTAGTTACGGTTCTGCAAAATCAGTAAAATCTCACACATCTAGAAAAGATGGTATTATTATAGAAACCATGTCGACACCTAATCCTTTTTGCCCAAATACCAAAGGAGTTTGCTGTCTTATGTTACTTCTTAATCTTGGTTTAATTCTTGTTGCATTAGGCTTTGTTATAGTGATTCAATTTTTTCAACCATTAATAGTTTGGTAAGTATATGTTTAAAAGGAATTATATAATTTTCCTAGTTTCTCTTCAATTTTATGCAGAACAATATTATAAATTTTAATAATTTATATTATAACTTAATTTCATAAAAATATTGCATATAAAGGAATTTATTTTTTAAGATTTCTTAAAATTAATATTTTGGAATTGTTTTAGGATTTTGGGAATAGTTTTTCTTGTTTTCGGATTCCTAACATTGATAGGAAGCCTCATATACTGCGTACATGTATTTCGAAATGCTAAACATCCACATGATATCAATCCAGAGGATCTTTATTGGACACGATATTGGCAAGGACATGTAGGTTCAGCACCTGAAGTATATTACAAGGCAGAGGATAAATATCATGATGATGGATACAGTGATCGTTTGAGCAAGTATTCACATAAATATTATGATCGGCAAAGATATTAAAGAGAAAAAACATCTACTTCATGTAAATGTGAATATATCCAATGTGTTTATAGTAATCTATACATAACTTACATATGAATTGATTTCAAGACATAAGAAATGTATATATTACATATATTACATATATACATTAATTGTACTAACATATTTAAAATCTAGTTTATGAAACTATATTTTGTATAAAATAGTAAGTATTATTTATTTTATACATATATATTATATATTTTATTTTGTAATGAGTATATTTTATTTTTATAACTTATCTTCATATGCATAATCCAGCAATATTTCTATCTTGCATGCAATAATAAAAATAAAAAGCATATTAAGTAGTTGTATTACATCTCTAAATTATTTATAATAATTTATTTAACTCATAAAATACATCTACCAACGTCTTGTACTTCCAACTGTACAGTCAAATAATTTTTCATTTAAAAATTCTCCTTGACCATCGAGAATGAAATACAATCTTCTGCCTTGAATCCTCATTGGCAAGTAAGATTTCATTTCCTGCCTTGCTAATGTAACTTTAACCTTATGGGGACACATAATTAATTACTCATTATTTTAAATTAATTATTAACTTATTTTAATTATTACATTAAATATTTTTAGTTAGTAGATATATTAAAAACAATATTATGTTTAGTTTGTTTCAATGAAACTATAAAATATTTTATTCGACTACAAAAATATATACTTCAAAGTAAGATAAAAATGACTTTTGTTATTGTTATTGTTATTAAATTAAAATAAAATTAAATTAAATTTAAATAAAAATACATACCTTTTCAAGAGGAAGTGTAATGTTATCATATCTTTTAAATAAATGATTAGTGATTATAGATACATCTTTGCCACCTTTATGTAAAATAACGTACTTTACAAATCTTCGATTAAACAAATATAATACTATACTGGCAGGAGGTCCTAAACATGAAAATACATGCGTGAAAATAAATTTTTAACATATTATGTATTATTTTATATCTGATTTATTTTATCTAACATATATTTATTATTTATTAGATTTTACCAATGAATATAAGCATGAAATATAATTTTTTATATTATTTATATACATTACCTATTATTATAGAATATGCAAAGTACATGAAAGATGCTCCATTTATTTTTATGTACTCTGCCCAAGATGTATCCTTACACCATGTTGTTATATATTTTGAATTATAAGTTGTCACTGCTATTAATGTATTACAAAAAATCCACCCATAGAAAAGTAGTTTCACTACTATGAAATCGTAAGTGTCTGTATTCTTATATAATATTACATTATTTTGCACATTTGTATTTATGTCTTTCAAATCGTTATATATTTGTTTCTTACATTCTCTATAAAATAATTAAATAAAATATTATTTAGGTATTTTTCAAAAAAGAAATTAATTTTCATAAAATTGCATTTTTTATATAAGTATAAATATAAATCATAAAAAAGTGTTATATTACCTTATACTTTTTATTCTAAATGTACATTTGGACGAAGAGTGGAGAGATTTATAAAGCATAGGATTCTTATATTTAGTATTTCTTACCAATGATTGATAAACAAATTGTAACTTACAAAGAGAATTTGTTGCATTTCTATGAAATAAAATATTCAACAGCATTGTCATATTATTTTACCTATAATTATTTATGATCTATATCACTTTCATTTCATTTCATATTTGAATTACATTTATTTTATGAAATAAAATTAATTTAATATGTAGAACGTAGACATTAGTATATCTTTTGGTTATGTTACCGTACGTTATATATTACCTGCTATTACAAAGAAAATATTTCATTCATATGATTGCATGTAATTTGTAATTGTAGAAACATAAAACATCATTATCTAATTCTAAAATACGAAATAATATAGTGTATTATTTCAATAATAAATCATAATGGGTAAAATAAGTATAATACTGAATTTAAATATACAGAAAAGATATAATATAAAATAAAAGCTTGACTATACAATGATACAAAAAATAATATTTTAAACACTTCGTAAAAAATTTTTTTTGATTATCTATCTTCAAATAAAATTATAAAGAAGAAAAATTATTATATATAATATAAAATTTCATATTTTGAAAATATATAATATTCACGTACATTAGCGCATTAATCAATCTTAATCATGAATGCTAAAAATAAGAACATTTTGGTTAAATAAATAGACTTAAAAATGATTAGAATATAGGAAATAAGAAAAATCGCTGTACCCACCGAAATAAGGTCGCATAATAAGCGAAAGCCGATAAGAGATTATTATTATTATTACTATTATTATTAATTCTTAATTTTATGTTATTTCTGTATATTAAATGATGTTTCATATCTAATAAAACATATTTTATCTTTACATATTTTAAATCACAGTTATTATTTACAGTATATCATATTAATCGACATTTCTTAAATTTACAAAATATATATCATTAATATAGCTTTTGGAAAATATTGAAAAACTTATACCATTATTGATATTAGTCTTTTTCGTGTTTCACGTATGTTTTGATTAACTATCGAAATTAACCAAACGATCAATTTGACAGTTTCCTTCGATCTTTTCACATCGATGAAATTGTTGACGTTTGTTGTTAGAACGATGCCCATGTATTATCAGCTGCTTTTAATAAAATAAATAAATACAAAATGGGTGACTTCTTGGCATCTAATAATATTTGTGGGCAAAATTTATTACGATTAGTATCTCGTGGAAATGCTATTATAGCAGAATTAATGAGATTAAAGGACTATGTGCCACCTGTATTTAGGTTATTTATATTCTATTAAATATTTTATATAAATGCTGTGTTATTAATATAAATACGATTATTAGCCGAATTATTATATTTTAATAATTCTTAAATATTACTTATAATATATTGTATAAATTGTATTATAAATAAGCACGTTAATTTTCTCTTACTTTACAGCTTGGACTCAAAACAAATTGTACAAAAGTATGGATCTATTATAATTGATTTTGTATATTTTAAATCTGCTAGTACATATGAGCAAAAAATAGAAAATGACCCAGTAAGTACACAGGAAATGATAAAATTATATAAATGAACTCAAATAGTTTTTAACATTTATTTTAAATTTATAATAAAATCTAATATTTTCTTAGATTTCTTTATCTAAAATTACTTTAATTGTTCTAACAATTATTCTCTTTAGATACTTCAAGAGACAGATGAAGAATTACGAAGTAATTTTTCTGATATAATTTCAAGATTTTATTTAGCCTTTGAAAGCATGCACAAATATGTAACAGATCTAAATCTCTATGTAGATGAGTTAGGAGATGGAATGTATATTCATCAGTCTATAGATACTATTATGCTCAACGAAGAAGGAAGACAATTAATGGTATTTCTATAATTTATAAATATCTGTTTTATAATTAAAGATATCCTAAATTATATTATTTTTTGATATTCATTAAGTTTAAATTAAATGATTAAATTTTAAAGTTATTTTTATTCTTCTTGCAATTATGATATTAAATTGTATTTTAAATTACATCTTAGAAATATATTAAGTATTGTCCTATATTAAATATTAAATTGCTTTTATTAGCTTTTTATTTTTATAAAATTTTATAAAACATTACAAATGTTTGTTATATGGTTGTACTATTTTTATAATAAAACTTTTGATGTATTGCATTTACCTAAAAGAAAGGTAATAATCATATTTATGTTAATAGTGTGAAGCAGTATATTTATATGGTGTTATGTTGCTTTTGGTGGATTATCATTTTGAAGGATGTATAAGAGAAAGATTACTTGTTTCTTATTATCGATATAATGCTCAACGTTCATCCTCTACAAGAGTAGATGACATATGTATGTTATTACGATCAACAGGATTTTCTAAAATTTCTAATAAACGACCTGCAAATTATCCTGAAGAATATTTTAAGTAAGCTCTTACAATTTTTTCATTTTATAATGAATCTACATCTGTTTTATAAAAGATTGATTTTGCAGAAGAGTGCCACTAAATGATTCCTTAATTGAACATATTATTGGACGCTTGCGTTCTGACGAGATATACAATCAAAGTCTTGCTTTTCCACATCCAGAACACCGTAGTACTGCTCTCTCTAATCAAGCATCAATGTTAGTTATAATTTTATCATTTAAACCATCCATATTACATACTCATACAGCTATAATGAGGGAAACAGTAGACAGATTTTTCCCTGATAACTGGGTGATCAGTATTTATATGGGAATAGTAATAAATTTATGTGATTGGTGGTTACCATACAAAGCAGCAAGAACAGCACTTAATAATACTTTGGAATCATCAAATGTAAAAGTAATTGCACAAAACTATGGTCAAAAAATGAAGGTAACTACATTTTTTATTTTTAATGGTAAAGCGTTCCCCAAATACTTGACTTTAAAATAATAATTTAAAATATTTTACCTTATTTTATTCTTGTTTTAATATTATAATATATATATATATATATATATATATATATATATATATATAAGTTGTAAGATAATAGTAATAATTATACGGAGAATTTCTAATCATAGGGATTTCAGTTGCGATAAAAACTTTCCTCTTCCTGTGTTTCATGCTACTGCTTTTCGCTTTCTGTCTGTTTCGTTATCGACCCTCTTTCTCGATACCACGGGATACGACGCGAATATGCTAACGGCATATTGAAAAGGCAACTCGACTTTTCGATGGATTTTGTTATTCATTATGGTAAAAATTTATTTTAGAAATTAATATGTGAAACGGAGGAAGTGCAATTAGCAGTGACTTTAGACGAGAGTGCAATAGGTTCTCTGGTAAAATTAGTAAGGGAGTGTAATGTAGTATTACACTGGATACTTTTACATACTGCAACGTCAACTATATCATTAGAAGATTCAAAACGTTCACGCATGCTTAGACAATTAGTAGTGACTGAAAGCAAATATACTACATCTGATTATCTGCAATTGTTATTAAGTACTGCTCAAATTGAGCAAGGTGTTAAACAATTATATAAAGACGTATGATTGACATTTCATACATTGTATAATTATATGAAAAATTTAGGAAAAGTTTCATTAACTTTCTTTTCAATTTTTAGTTGTTATTTGGCAAAGAAACTAAATGGATTAGGGATAAAGGAACATGTGTTGAACGTATAACAGATCTTGCTCAAATATTTGGTGGTAATAAATCACTTGATGGTATTGAAAGAAATCAAAATTTGCATACTTGGTTTATGGAGATCAGTAAACATATTGATTCATTGCAACAAGAGGATGGAAGAAAAATAGTGCAATTATTACAAGCATTAGAAGAAGTGCAAGGTAAATATAATTTACTTACAGATAACATATATCATAAATAATGCAGTAGAAGAAGAATGTACAGGTTCTTCCTGGACTTTGAAAAGATCATTGAGGTACTTTCAAGACGAAAGACATGTTTCCATTTCAGACAATAATTCTGCAACTTTCATTGGTAGACTTGCTCGTGAATAAAATAGAAGAAATTATAATTAACTTAACTCTTTATTATGATATTGATTCATAATAAAATGTTAATTTTAATTTCAATAATAATTTCAGAATTTCATCAATTGGAAAACAATTTACATATATCACAGTATTTAGCTGATACACGAGAAATATTGCATAACATGTTGCGCACAGGAAGCATAACGGAAGATACTATGATAAGTTTAAATATAGTGACAGATTGTTGTTATGCATGGAATATAATGGAATCATTTATTGATACAATGCAAGCTAGTATAAAAGAAAGTCCTCCTACTGTAATAAAATTAAAAGCACTTTTTTTGAAAGTAAGCTTCATGTATGATTTAAAAAATTAATTTTTATTTATAATAATCAACATTTCTTCTACTGTAGCTAATTTATTTCCAGATGGCTTCAGCTTTAGAAACTCCTTTATTAAGAGTAAATCAAGCACACAGTGCAGATTTATCATCAGTATCACAGTACTACAGCAGAGAACTAGAAAAATATGCAAGGCGTGTCCTGCAAATAATACCTGAAACTGTATTTGGTTTACTTGCTGAAATAGTACATCTTGAAACCAATGCCTTTAAAGAAATTCCTACTAAACTGCCAAAAGACAAATTGAAAGATTATGCACAATTAGATGATAGATTAAAGGTATGTATACATTTTTAACTTCCTTGTTTTATTTAGTTCAGTCAAGATTTAGAATAAACTCATATTTTTAAGTCATATAATAATAACAAATTATTTTAGATGGCTAAATTAACATATGCTGTATCAGTATTTACAAAGGGGGTGTTGTCTTTAAGAAGTGTTCCATTAGGTGTATTAAGAGTTGATTCACATCGCCTTTTAGAAGATGGTATACGACAAGAACTTGTAAAAAAAGTAACTCTAGCTTTAGATAATGGTCTTATTTTTGAACCAAAATCAAAAGTAAGTTTTTATTGCAATGTGTTTATTGTGAAGATATTTTATTAGAAGTTGTTAATGACGTGTCATTCCAGATATCATTGTTACAAAAACTGCATAATTTAACAGCAATAATAGATGGCTACCGTAAATCGTTTCAGTATATTCAAGATTACATAAATATTAATAGCTTAAAAATATGGCATGAAGAAGTTTGTAAATTCATGAATATTTGATTTGTACACATTTATTTATATTAATATATATTTATACATGACTTTTTATGATTCACAGATAACATATATCATAAATAATGCAGTAGAAGAAGAATGTACAGGTTCTTCTTGGACTTCGGGAAGATCATGGAGGTACTTTCAAGACGAAAGACACGTTTCCGTTTCAGACAATAATTCTGCAACCTTCATTGGTAGACTTGCTCGTGAATTACTTCGAATTACAGATCCTAGGTAAATATTTTTTTATATTTATATATTATATGTAAATTTATTTTTTGTACTACTTTACTATGTCTTCTATTATTTTGTATCGTTTACATTTTCATATTAATTGCTTTTCTAAACTTAATATATAGATATAACATAATTAATATATTATATTATTCTATATATTCTATTGTATTGTCATTAATTAATAATTTTTACATTCATATTTTTAGAACAACTGTATATATTGAACATTCTCTTGCCTGGTATGATCTCAAAACACAAACGGAAGTATTAAATTATAAAATTTTTTCAAGAACATTAGAAGCAATTGGCACACCCGGTTTAACTGGTCTTGATAAACTTATTTCCTTTTACATTATTACTGAATTAAACAGTATGATACACCTTATAGAAAAAAATATTCGCAATAAAGTATGGTCATCTACAATTGATTATTTTGATGCAATATTGAATTCTGTGGATGGCCCTAAAGGTAATGTTATCGAATAATGATTGTTATTTATATATCTATAGTAATTTGTGAACATTTATTTTATCAAATATGTGTATTTAGGTAACATGTCAAAATTTCACAGTTCCATTACTGCTCAAACAAGTAAATTTTGTCCACAATTACTTGACTGTGTATTGAAAGTCGGACATTATCAACTTCTTAAGAAAAAAATAACGTATGAATTAAACACAGCTTGTAAATTTGAAGCAAAGCATATGGAAGCGGCATTGCAAACATTAAACACGTATGTATAAATATTAAAAAAGTATTTCCTGTTCATATTAATCTCCTTATTTCTTATATTTTTACGGCTTTCAGAGCTATATTATTTGAAATTGATAAACAAAATAGCAATGAACAAACTGAAACCGAGAAAAATGAACTATTACGCGAGCTTAGTATCAGATTAGATTGGGCTGGTATAAGCAATCCCCATAATAATATTTATATTAAATCTCCAAATATAAATAATATTGCACTTATTATGTTTTTACTTACTGTATTACAATTATCCAAATTACAATATTGTAAAAATACAGGTAATTTAAATATAAGTATATATATAAATTTAAAAAAATAATGATATATACATATAAGTAATTATAATATATAAATAAATAAATAAATAACTTTACGACACAATTGCAGGAAGTCTTTTGAGTAAAAGACCTCAAGATCCTCTTGATGCTGTAGTTTTTGTTATTGGAGTACAAACTATCTTACGTCAATGTACCTATTCTGCAATGACACGCTATGTTAAATATCTTTGTATATATGTTCTTTCTTGTGTTGCTCCAGATAGGTATACTAATTTTTTACAATATACTTAATAGAAAAAATTCGTCATTACGTATATTAAAAACATTTTGCTCCTTGCAGTATAAAAGCAGGAAGTGATGGAGAATCAGAAGGATATAATACTTTACATATTCTAGAATTATTTACGAGATATTCTGGTATATCACGGTCACTTATACTTAAAGAAATTCCTATGATCATTATGGATCATTTCCAAGCAAAGACTGCTAAATAAATAATATAATTTTGTGGCTAAAAAAGTAATTCGCATTACATTGAAATATGAAAAGTATAAATATCGTTTATTTTGTACATACATTTAAATATGGATCTGTATTTTGTACGTACATATATTTTAATATATGTATAGATGTATCAGTTCTTGTTAAATGAAAAATAATAAAATTCTATTACTATTACAAAAACATGTAGTTATTTAATAAATACATTATTTATTTACAATAATCATTAAATACTGTTATTTCCTAGACAACTGATTGTTGTGTTCAAAATTGATACCTTTTGATATTCCTGAGTGAAATTTGAGAATATTTTTTATATTATGTACTAAACGCGTAATAAAGTAATAGTACTCAATAAATCGTTTAACACATTCTGCTAAAAAGATACAGTTGTACTGCATAAAAAATTATACATTTTTTTCATCAAAGATATCTTTATTTTAAATAATGGGTAATGTCTGCTTCAATATATTGCCGATTTCTTTTTTTAAATTTTTCATTGAAATGTATAAAAGCACATCAATTGCATCAGCAGCATTAGAAATTTTAAATGACGCAACTTATATGTTGCTAATAGTAAAGATATTAAATGTTACAATAAATTATATCTCAAAAAATAAAATATGAAAATAAATATGCAAGATTCTTAATAACAACATTTATCAAAATTTGATCAACTGATGCTTTCAACTATAGTATATCTTACTCTAAAATTCAAATAAATTAAATTTTTATATTAAATTTTCATGTAACGAATACATATGTGGGACTATAGCTGCTCGTCATCCCTATCTGTAGCAGAAATTTACGTACGCATTGGCGGCTCAACACGGTATTCGGTGCGAGCGGCGGCAATACGGCGCTTCTCAAATAATCTTTGTGATATCCTCGTTTCAAATTACATTAAAATAATATTTTTAAACCCAATCCAAACATTATCACGATTACGTAATTATATAATCAATTTTAAGTTGTATCATATTTTATATATTGTTAAAAATGACAAAATGAATGACATAGAAATTTTTGCCGGCAAAAACGGCCGTTATCAGAGCGTGAAGACGCCGACCGCCGCTTTGCTTCCTCATAGATTACTAGAAAATTTACTGTAAATATTTAAGAGAATATTATAATACTCATTAAAATGCTTATAAAATAAAATTATTTTTCTTTTATTATATTTTACATTACTTCAAATTATATATACAATATTTTAAATAAATAAATGAAATAAAATAATATCATTGATAGGATATATGGGCGGCTAGGACGTCATTGACGCCGTCAGCGGTGACTGCAACGGCGATGCTGACGGCCTGCTACAAAAGAGACTGCGATAAACTCCGGGCGCAGTCTTTCTTGCTTATACGTGCGGTTACAACATGGTCTATTTATACTTAAAATTTAAGTTGCAATTTCTTAAGATTTCAGATATCGTATTGATGCAAAAATGTGTAGCAAAAGTGTTTATTATATTCTTATTATCATTAGAAACAATATTATATATTTACACTACACTTTTTATGCTTCAAATTTAAGTTGCAATTTTTGAAAATTTTATATAATATCGTGCTGATATAAAAATACGCGGCAAAAGTGTTTATTACGTTTTTGTTATGATTAAAAATAATATTTTATATTTATACCACACCTTTTATTAATCATTAATTTGTATATCCATATTTTTTATCTCAAAGTACATTATTTTTAAATATTTATTATTTAGTAGATTTCCATTTCGCTTACAAAATATATATATATATGTATATAGATATTTCAAATTATACTATGTATTATACATTTAATATAAGAAAGCAAGAAATGGAGTACGTAAGTATCATAATTTCTTAATTATATTTATATTCCAACTTTTATGTTTCATTTGTGATTAATGATTACGATATGACCTCGTGGTATGTATCAACTTGAATTTAAGAAGTTCATCACTCTCGTAATACTATAATTTGCATAATAAGTATTGTAGAATGAAGACAAAATCATATTGATATCAAATTTTAATTCTTCTTTAATATTATTAAAAATTGTATATATCAAACTAAATTAAAATTACAAACTTTCAACTTGTAAAAATGTTTAATTTACTATTTCCTACAATTTAGCAATATGAAGTTGTCTAATATAAAATAAAAAATAGAAGGAAAAGAAACATATGAATGACACTTATAGTTATTAAGCTAACATTAATATTTTTCTTTCAAAGTTTATACTCTTCTTACACATTGTTTTCTCTTCATATATGTATCTATTTATTTCTTTCACATAAGAATATACTATAAATAAGAATTAATTAAACAATTTTATTATATAATTTTTATAAATGTACAAGTATAATTAATAAAGCTTTTTTTAATACTAGAAAACCATGCGAGCAAGTGTCATTATTGTATTGGCTTTCGCCACTGGGATTGTTGTAGCCACATCTAGAAATCATAATTATTCGCATTTCGTAAAACATCATGCAAGACCACGAGTAATTCGAGGCTTTAAACCTGAATATATGTCTACGGCATATGGTTTCGGGAAAAGGCAAAGTACTATCGATGTTCCAAAACTCAATAAACAGGAACGAATTTTATCAACACTTTTACGTTATTTTCCACAAGGGTACATACATGTTTTAATAATTTAATTCTGTTAAATTATTCCTCTATATCAACAATTAATAAGAAAGATGCAAGTGTAATTTAATAAAATAATGAGCAATCAAATTTTTTGATATAGTTAATACGATATAAATATTTTAATTTCAGAATTCCCGTAGATTGGTTACTTCAACAATTGAAAACGAATCCAACTTTTGCTACGAAATTAACACAAGCGTTAATGGATGAACGTACTGATTTTACGTCAATGATAGATCGCTCTAATCCAGAAAGAATAACTTGGCTATATTAAATCTTTTATGTATGATCAAATGATATACACAATTCCTAGCTATACCTTCTAGTTTAATAAATCTGCGATATTTAAAAAACTCTTTTGTTGTTATTAACACATTAGTTTCCTAAAATAATGCATATAATAAAAGTAATTATTACTAAATAATGTATCTATAATATATGTACTATACTATTTTTAAATATCAATATACGATATTCTCTTCTGAAGAATTTAATAGATGTAATTTATAAACTAAAATGTGATTGATTAAGTTCTAACAACCTATTATTTTATACGTTAATAAGCGATGGAATTCTTTAAAGTAAATAGAATTTCAAGCTTATACTGTTAGAGAAATATGCAATTTTTAGCCATTAAAAACATCGAAAAGGTAGATTGTAATCATAAAACTAACGTATTGTTAAATCAGTGTTGCCAACTATAAATTCTTAAAAATAAGCGGAGGAACAAAGATATACATATATATATATATATATATATATATATATATATGTAGTTTCAGGGTGTGACTATCTATCTTAAGAATAATCAATGGTTTACAGCCCAGAAGGGCTTCGGTTTCTACGTTTCACGGACATTTTCCTTCGTGCATGTTTTTCCTGTTGTAGTTTTTGCGATAGCAAAATTGATTCGAGACGCAGATACATTTAATTTTGGAATAGAATTAATCTGAAAAAGAATAAAACGGGAGCAGAAGTGAAATCTTGAATACGCAATATCTAAGTGACGCCGGCCAGCTTAAGCCTTGGAGTCTTAAAATCTCCAAAGGCCCACAGGCATACACGAGACTAAGGTAAGAGTCCCATGAGACATTCTCAACAATAATATATATATATATATATTTTTATAAATGATACATGAAATTCCGTGACATCTTTTGTTCAAAGTTCTACAGATTGGTACGCAGTAATATTTAATAATATTACAATGTTAACCTCAAATATTCATAAAAATCTTTCAATAAACTGGGAGTCAGTATAGTCAGTCAATAACTAATAACATATCATGAAAGAATTGTGAAATTTAAACCCTTTTTAATGTGATTGGAAATTTTTGTTTTAATGCACATTAATCTTAATTCTCTGCATTATTTTGTATATGATAATAATTCACAAAACATTCAAAAGTATATGTGTTATATACAGTATATATAGTTCTATATTAATGTACAGCTTTACTGCATTGATGTAGGACTAAATTTCAAATATTATTTTATTTATAATTTACAAATTACAAACATTTTATATTACTGACATATATATATATTTCATATTATATATTCATAATTACTAGGTATTACATTTAACACCAAGATCTGTAATAGATTTGTTGTGCAAAATTTTCTTTTTATTGTTTTTTAATATGGTTTTGAATTCTAGTTTAAACAAATTTTAAAAACGACTTCTCATGTATTAAACTCTAAAAATAAATATATTGGTATAAATATGAATTAATACTGTGTGGTTACTTTATATAATAATAGTTTATAAAATATGACATTGACATCAGTTAATAAACTCTGATTCAGCTTTTAAATATTATTACTTCAATCTGTAAATGCATTAGTGATATACTATTGAATTTTGGTGTATGTTTGCAAATATTAAATATTTTTATTTTATAGTATTCGTAGACAATTACTTTATAGTTAAAGAATTTATGTTTATAAACATGGTTTTAGTTTTAATTAATTTCTCGCTCTCATATTTGTAACATCTTTATTATTATCATCAAATCTATAAATTATATTAATTTTCTTATTATTAATGACAGTCTGCTATACATTTATATTACATTTATATTATTTTGTATATAAACTATAAATGACATGATAGAAAGTTAAATGATTTTTGTTCTATATAGTTTCACTTACGTATGATGATAAATGTACAAATACTTTAGTTTCTCTTTTCCTAAATTTTTCCTCTTCCCTTTGTTCTTTCTTTCTCCATGCCCAAAAGACATTCTTACAGGTTGAAAGTCCGTTCGTTATAGTTTCTAGTGCAGTACAAAACGGTTTGCGGTTTACCGGTATTTCTTAGTTTGTGTTGTGTTCGAGTTGAAAGTTTAAAACGTAAAATAAAAAGTTCGGGCAAGAAATCCTGAAAATTAACAGTATGTATTGTAAATGTGAAAAAGTTCAGTTTATGTATAAAGTACAAAAGTTGTTAGTAAAAAAAAGTTATCAACGTGATATAAAAAGTATGTTCGACACAGTATGGATTGCTCGCGTTGTGCCTTCAAGAGCAAGTACTGCACAGGCTCTTATTGATACAGGTAAGCCCTGTGATGCTACTGATGCAGATTTTTCAGTGCTACATTTGGTCGGTTCGGCTAAAAAATTCACTTCTCAAGTAAGGGGAATTAACAATTTGTTTAAGCAGTGGTCCCATTTTTTGTCAAATCATTATTGTATATGTTATAAAAAAGAATAACTTTTTTACAGGTTAGAATAGTTCATCATGTCAGACTCTGGTTCAGAAAGTTCCTCTTCGGAGGGTTATGATGGAAGGAGAGATCGCGTTGCATCTGCTGACAATGTGGCATCACCAAACTTCTCACACCATTCATCTGTATCTGGACGTAAATCTAGAGCAAGTTCTATATCTTCAAGAGAGAAGTCACCTGGATCTATTATATCAGAAAGAGATTTAAAATCCCCAAGATATACACCAATATCTCCAAAATCTCAAAGATCTGGTTTAGCATCTCCTAGTGAAGTGGGTTCTCCAAGATCAACTCGTAGTTTATCAAAATCACCACCTGCCTCACCAAAATCATATCATTCAGGAAACAATTCTTTGGATTCACCAAGAACTGATCGCAGTTTGTCTCATTCTCCTATGCAAGATGAGAGATCGTGCCCATCTAGTCCCCATGATTCTAAATCTTTACATCTTGAAGATACAGAACCTAAACAATTTGAACTGGAAGTAGATGCACAAAGATCTGGAGACAATTCCCTTAAATCTTATTCCTATAAAAATAGTGAATCGAGACAAAGTTCACCAAAATCACCAAGGTCTGGACGTAGCTCAGCAAAATCATTAATGTCTGGAAGAAGTTCTCCAAAATCAGGTCCAGCATCTCCTATGGATGATCAAGAGTCAGAAAAGCATTCTCCACCTCATTCTCCACCACAACATACAAAAACTTCATTTAATGAATTGGACGGGGAACAAATTTCAGATGGAGATATCGAAGATGAACCTGAATCAATAACTAAATCAAAACCCACTCCAATTACACATGGTGAAGATTTATCAGATGTTTCTGATCTAGAAAGTATAGATGGAGTTGATGGTACTATTGAACATGAATCAATAATCAAAGAAAATCAACAAAATGAAGAGAAACGTATGAGTAATGATAAAATAGAAAAAGAAGATAAACATGCACCAGTTGGATTAACAGAGGAAAGCGAACAACTAGATTTTGAAGCCGATGGTCAATGGAAAGATGAACGTGATGAAGGTAAATAAACCAAAAATTATTATAATTTAAAATAAATATTGTTAAAAATTAAAAACTATTTTTAGGTGAAGTAGAAGGACCAATTATTAAAGAAAGTAAAGACAAAGATGATAAAGATGGAAAAGACAAAGATAAAGATAAATTAAAATCAAAAGAAGGTGGTGATGCTAATGACAAGGAAGAGGGAGAAGAGGATGGGGAAAAAGTAGAATCAGAATTAGAAGAAGGAGAGCTTAGTGATGGTGATGATGTTCGACCAGAAGAAACAGAACCAAGACCTGTTTGTCGCTTTTATAACCGAGGACAATGCACATGGGGAGTTAGTTGTAGATTTTTACATCCAGGTGTAACTGACAAGGGAAACTATACAATGTTTGACATGGTACGACCAATGGCATATCCACCACATGCAGCTACTCCACACGAATTTAGGCCGCATATTGAAAGGCCAAATATGGTGCGACCATTACCTGGATATGGAGCACCATCACATACACCAAAAGTAGAAGATCTTCCTGCTGAATCTGCATGGGAACGTGGATTACGACATGCTAAAGAAGTAAGTTTTTATTTCATACTTCATAAGGTATCCTATTTGAAACAAACTACATCATTTTTGTAAGCTTCCTTATTTCCTGTAGCTAAATTTTGAATAACCACAAGTGTACTTTTTACGAATTTCTAAATTTTAAGCATACAGAAGATTTACATTTTCTTTAATACATTTTTATGACTTCTGAGACTAAGTTTCCATGACAAAAAAAAAATAATTTATAAATGTAAGAAGGACATTACTATATTGAGAACTCAGAAAAAAGTGACATTAAGAAAATTATTGTTTTCACAGTTCTTCCCATTTTTTGACTCAACAGCCTTGAAGAAAGATCTTGGTTGGTTTAGCTTACAGAAAACTAAAATTAAACTAAACAAAAAACTAAACTAAAATTAAAACTATTGCTTATTGTCTCTTGTTCTTGCATATCTCTGTCCCCTTCTTCCTTTCTCTATCCAACATCCTCAGCCATTCTGTCCTCCTTTTGAATTCTTATTGCTTAAAATCTCAATTCTTACACTTCTTTTCCAATTTCAATCCTACGTCATATTGTTTCACTGCCATGGAAAAAATACTTTTGAGTAAAATGCTTTACAAAATAAACGGAAGTTTTATATGTTATTTTTATAAGAAATATGTTATTTTTATAAGAAAATAGTTATACGATATTTTTATAAGAAATATTTCTATTCTTATCTACTTTTTTACACAGATGATGCGCAAAGCAAATAAACGCAAGGAATCAGATATGGACTTCGAAGAAAAGAAGATGAATTTAAGTTTAGGACAAGATGAATTAGATAGAGAAGCGGGATATTATGTAAGAGCAGCTAGTCCAGAACCACCTGTTGAAAGATGGCCTCCTAGAGAAGCACCTAGAAGAATACCACCACCAAGGCTTACACCAGAAAGATATATTGATGATCCTGATACTTATTATGCACCACCAGCAGCACCACCAGAATATTATAGGTAATATTTATTATTAAAGTCAAAAAGCAAATTAGAAGTATTTGTTATGTATTTTTCAAATTTTTAAGGCAAAT